GAGCCTGTTCCATAGCCCAGGATTTCCTTCTGCACAATGGCTTCCATCTCAGGTTGATTTCTTACTTAGAACCAGGCTGCATCTGTTGCTCTGTTTTCTGTGTAAGCTGACTTTGCCAGTTCCTCTCAAGGTGGTTTACCCACATGCTCAAGCATCCATCCAACCTCTGCAGGGACTGTATGTCTGTGTGAATTGAACACTTACGTGGGTGCTGCAGCTTGCACTAATGTGTCAGTCTGCCTTCGTATGGAAAGCAAGGCAAGACTCCTGGAAAGTACCAGCTGGCTGTTCGTGTTTCCTGTTGGCACAAACTTTCCATGTTACTAGAGGGGAAAGGGAGAGAGACCTTCTAGGGCCAGCAAAGCAACAGGGAAAAAAACTCTGCTCAGCTCATCTTGCACAAGACCTGGATGATGAATCAGACAGTACAGCACAGCCTAGGGAGCATTCATGTGCCTTAACAAATGCATTTACAAGGGAGCAGTGGGTTGTGCTCGGACTGCTGAGAAGGAGCTTAGGTCTGGCTGACAATTTGGTGATGGTGAAGTTCAGATGGCTGTGATCAGACAGATCAGGAATGCGAGAGATTGCGGGGAACACTCAGTGGGCAGTTTTCCCCCGTGGATTGCCGCCCTCAGGAACACCTATAGACTTTTTTATGTTGTCTTTTCTTACCGCACTGCAGTGTCACACTAGTGCTGTGCTCTTCTGGGGCAAAGTCAGGCTGCGGCAGTGTTACTGGCTGGTGCCAGAGCAGTGGAGCTGTCATCGCTGTTCTTATTTCTAGAAGTGTTTAGAGGACAACAGCTTGATCTCATAACTTGTGCCTTGGAAAACCTCCCTGCTGAGAGTGTATCTTAGTGTTTATTGCAAAGTGTGTTTAATGCTATTTTTCTTTCCCAAATGTTTCTAAGTGGTATAGTGGTACTTTAAGGAGAAGGTGCCAGTGTCCGATAGCAGTGGTGGAGATGAAAGATCTGCTGCTTTGGATTGCTTTCTGGAGGAAAGTGGGAGTAAGACATTACCTTGAGGACTCACATCCTCAGTGGGAGGCTACACAACAGAAAAAACCTTCCAATTCAGAGAATTCAGCCTTGAGAGACAGAATGCAGTAAACTCAATGGCAATAAAAAAAAAGTAAAATAATAATGAAATATTTCCAAAAAAATCCTTTTTTTAAGGCCTCTAACCTAGAAAATGTGCAAATGGTATTTGCTGGGGCGGGGGAGAGTATTGCAGACTCATTCACTAAAGTCATCGATGAAACAAATAAAGGTCACTGTTGAGGGATTATAGAACTAAAAGAGAGATCTGCCTTGGGTGGAATGGCATTTATGTGCTTCACCATATTTATTAGTTTTTTATAGGGCCAGGAGAGAGAGATTACAAAGTTCTCTCTTGGGTCAGTTGAGATTATATGGGACTGTGCTCTAAAGAGTTTACTGCTCCCTGAGCCATTTTAACATGTGTTATGAGTCTTGCAGGAGAAGAACAGGCAGATAATTGGAAAACCTTCATCAGAAAGAATACAGTAGCTGTTAGATCCTGACCCAGAACCGCACAGTGACAGAGGTTTGGTAGGAGGCTTGAGAGATGGGGCTTGGTTTGACTTTACTGCACTTACAGCCTCGCAGAGTTACAGTGTCAGGAAAAGCTCATTTGGTTTTACGTGAGATAGGTAGGAGTCTGAGCAACCTTCCCAAGCAGACATTCCCTCTGCCCGGTGGAAAGCCCTGGTCATGTTGGAGTCAGCCCTCCTGTCCTTTTGTGGTCCCGTGTTACTCTGCTGCCTCACCTCTCACAGTTACATAGTTGGTGCCTTCCACTGGTTCTGACGCAGTTCCATGTGTTTTGTCATGTCATGCTGTTTTGGCAGTCACTCACACCCCACCCCACAGTACTGAAGCAAATAATGCTCCTGGACTACAGAGAACAGCCTGTTTCTGCTCACTCCTTCTCTTGCCCAGCAAAACCTTCTCTCAGCTGATTCCTCCAAAGTGCTTCTGCATATCTGACACTGATTCCCATCGCTCTCACTTTCCAGGGAAAGTTGTAGAACCATCTTTGTTCACCACAAGGTTAGAATGGGTTTCCACATGGGGAAGAGCTGCCTCACTCTTCCCGTCCTACCTTCTCAACTCACAACTACTGGATCTTTATCACCAGGTTCCCAGGGGAGTAAAGGCTTTAATTTGGTACGTGTAGATGTGGTGCTCAGGGACATGGTCGAGTGGTGGACGTGGCAGCGTTAGGTTTACAGTTGGACTTGATCTTAGAAGTATTTTCCAACCTCGGTTATTAATTCTGTGATTTCTCCTTGGTGAATCTAGCAAGAGGATCCCAATCACCATCCATACACAGTTTCCTAAGGTTGCCAGTTCCAGGGGAAATAAGAGGAAATGCTTTTTCTTCCTACTTGCTGCCAATTCCTTAATAAGTACCATTTGGCCATCTTTATGCCTTAAGGACTCCTAAATGGAAAGTTTCTTTTCTGGAAAAGGAAGTGCAGGTAACATTGCTGTGTATTTGTAAAGATGGGTTTATTTCTAGGAAAGGGGGGAAATTAAGTATTCTGAATCCTGAAAATTCCAAAGTGGCAGAAATCAGAAGATACTAAAAAAATAGGGCAACTGTGAAGAGTGTAGTATTTCTTGAGACAACTCCATTTCTGGAGCTGAAACTAAAATACACTGACAACAGTGTACTGACAACATTAATGTAGAACTTAAATAACATTAGTCTGCGCCTCTTGTGAAAGCTGGTCTCCCTGCTTCCTGCCTACCCCTAGCTGCAGATGTAGTTGTGTGCCTGATCTCGTTTGACTGCACATACTGAGCAGGGACTTCATCTCACTTAGATCACCAGAAAGTACTGAAACAATGTTGTGCGTGCAGTGCTGGACTTCTGATTTGTGTGTATGTTTTATAAGCACAAATAGTTGCTTTCAGTTTATTCAGTACATTTGTGGCATTTTTTTTAAACTCTCTGCTTTCAGCAATGCAGAATATAATGAGAGATAACTGAAATTGTATATAGCCTTTTCTGCCCAAAGTAGCTGAGACTCCCATGTGGCTAAGATGAGTTTGTTAATTGTCAGTTTGCTTTAATGTAATGATTCAGAAACTTAATCTGTTGTTGAAATATTTATTCTGCTGTTGTTTTTCCATTACTTTTCATCTTCTTTTATTCATAGGAAACTATTCAAAGTAAAAAAAAAACCAAAAAACTTAAATTATAGTTTACATACACATGTGTGTGTATTTAGAGATAAATTGATAGGCAATGTAAAACAAGGACTTTAATAAAGCCATCCCATCATAACATAGAACATCCCATAATACTGGCAGCTTTCCCAAGCCTGTGTGCAGATGGCCCTAGGTACAGCCAGGACCACGAGTGATTTTCCTTACCCCTCCAAGGGATCTAAGTGGGGGCATTGCAGGATTTCCTTTGCAGGAGTTGGCATTGGGCTTTGCTGATAAAAGAGCAGTCTACATCTCTGTGCTAAATGGGTTTGAAAGTAACTGGTCAGTTTGAAAATAGTGCCCTGGTATGTTCTGTGAGCTGATACGAGAGGTGGCCAGAGGAGTAAATGTGTGCGGTCCTAAAGAAGACATGGCTTGAGCCTTGCTGTAAGACACAACATGCAGATGAGTAATGGTTTCAAGTTGTTTTCTGACTTCGGTGCAAAGCATTGTGGCATTTAGGTCAGGCTCTGTGAGAGGCAAAGGAAGTGAGAGCACCATTGCCCCTGTTCCTGTTGGAAGCGTGGCAGTATGCTTTGGGAGGTGATAAGGAGGGGTGACCCCATGTGCAGAAACTGCCCTTGTTGGCCCTGTTGCGGTTCTGTTTTCCTTGCTTCTCTGCTTAGAATGAGACTGGAAGCGTGTTCCCAACAGTACAGACAGGTATTGTCTGATGGTTCCATGCCTGAACAAGAACCTGTATCTATACAGGCTGTCAGGTTTGGTGGCATTGAGGGTATAAATTATGCATGCTTGAAATGAAGTGTATTTTAGTAGCAGATAGCTGAAAAGCCTTGCAATGTACTCCTAATTCAGCAGCATTGCCTTGAGCTGCTCTGAGGCCTCTTTTTTAAACTCAGACATTAGCACAAAGCACACCTCTGACTGCAGGCATTTAAAGATCAACAAGGGCTGAAAAAGCTTTTAAGATCCAATGAAACCAGGAAAACAATCATGTTGCCTTTCAGTGTCAGGTTAGATTGCCTTCTTGTGAGTGCAGCTATTTCAGGTACAGAGTGCTTGGTGGTTTGGGTCTTGTTGTGTGGGGAAGGCGTTGCCCAGAAAACATCTGTTCCCTTCACCTGCAAACCACAATGTGCTGTGAAGAGGCAGGACTGCAGCCACAGAGGCCCAGGGGGACGAAGGAAATCTGGCTCAAAGGGATGAGCATGGTTTTCTGAAACACGGTATCAAAAAGAGCACTTAAAAGGAGAGAATGCTTTTAGAGCGCAGGATGCACTGCAAATTGGGCAGGTCAGGTTGCTTGTGAGCTTGAAATTCTTCATGGGTTGCCAGTGCTGTTTTCTTAGCAGCAATATTTGTGTCCTGCTCAGAATTGCAACATGAGAAGTTTATTTTCTTTTTCAGCAACTGTAAAATGTTTTGTTTTCCTGTAAAATAACAGGATGTCTTCTGCACTGTATGAAGCCCATATGAGCAACAGAGCTGCTGCTTTCCCTTTTGTGCTCATGTCTTCATTTTTATCTTACCATTGTTAAAGTTCAGATGTAGCTCTTAACACACATAGTACAAGTGCAGAACTACACCCTTGACTTGTGAAAATCTTTATAGTATATTTGAAACCAACAGTAGTGTATTACTGTAGTGTGTTGCCAAAACCCACCTGGTCTTTTAGCTTAAAAAAAAAGGTGATGCTCTGGGCATAGAGGGCAGAGGAGAGCCTTCCACAGAGTGGAATTTCAACTGTTTAATCAACTAAATGGTCTTCTAACAGCTGCCTTTTTGCTCTTTCAGAGGATGACATGAATAATTACATCAGTCGATACTACAATGAGCCAAGCAGTGGTAAGTTTTGCTTGAAACTGTAAATGTGAACTGTGTTTTTAATTGCCCTGTGTGCTGTAAACCAGGTGAGGCTGAACAGTGATGTAGATTGATCCATCATGGACCCATCCTCAAAATGAAACACACCATGGCATCTGTTGTTTTTTTCCATGGAAGATTGTACCAGAATAGTAATTCTCTAGTGGCTGAAGGGCCCCAAGTTTGCGCCTGCTGAAGGTGTTCATAATAGCTTGGAGCTGTGGGAGAGGTTAATTCCCCCGAGGTAGGCTGTCCGGGCTGCAGTGCCGTTCAGGTGGACCTGAGAATGAACTGCAGGGACAAAACAAAGGCAGAGAAGTTGGGCGGTGGCTTAGCCAGCACTGTGCTGGTGGACCTGAGTGGGAAGAACCTTGGCAGCGGGCGCAGGCCATCACCCAAGCTCTGGCTTAGCACCGCGGGATCCTGCTGGCATGGGGGGCTCTCAGCAGGGCTAGACAGGCAGAAGGGTGGGGAGCACCCCCTTACCTATAAAACACTTACTAGAGAGAGAGGTGTGTGTAGATATAATGTAGTATAGATGTATATCCCCATATATATAAGGGGATATATAAAAAGTGTGTGTAGCTGCATATACACACATATATATATAAAATATGTATATATGTGTGTATGTGTATGCATATAATGTATTATATATGCATACGCATATGCATACAGCCCATACATGCATCCCTATATATAGTATGTGTACACACAGTGAAATATAGACATGTAGAAAGATATATCTAAAGATGTGTCTGTGTATAGACATACATATGATGTAGAATTAAATGTGCATATCTATATGCATATAAATCTATAATGTATTATACATGCCTATCCTACATATATACGCAGAAACTCAGACACACGTATTTATATATAAAAAGACATAAGTAAAAATATGTATGTGTTTGTACATACATTTGTATAAGGTATCGTGTATGTATGTCCAAACACACATGCATCCCCATAAATATGAGAATATTTATGCATACAAAGGTATGTATTTGACTCTAAATATAAAGACATATGTATATGTCTATATACATACAAAGATGTGTGTGAGAGGCTATGTCCATATACATAGAGATAGTTTATCTAAATATATATTAAAATATATAAAAAGATAGATGTAAAGGGTAGGGAGTGTGAGAGGAGGAGAGCTGGTCTGTTATAAAAATTTCTCTATGTATATGTAGAATGTATTACATAGTTATATCCCCATATAACTCATGCACACAGATACGTACATATCTACAGCTGTCTGTGTAAGATAAGACTAAATAAAAGTGTCTGTAAGTGTATGGTTGTAAACATACATGTAAAATGTATGAAATATCTATATCCCAGTAAATACATCTCTAGATTGATACACAGGTGGATATATATATATATATGCTTATTAAAGACATCTTCTGGTTTTTTTATGTATATATAAAATAAGAGATGTAACAGTGTCTGTGTATATACATACATATTCTGTACTATATGAAATCTGAATGTACGTGTGTGTGTGTGTGTGTATATATATAAGTATAATATCTTACGTATAGCTCCATATAGATCCCCACATATATACATGGTTATACATGTTTCTACATTAAGGTATGTACATGTGTATGTGTATATGAATATATGTCTATATATGTTTCTATATATGTAAAGATCTATAAAGGTGCTTGGGCACAACTGTGTATATACGTATATTTTGTATGCATTATATAGAAATATGAATGTGTGTGTAGATATAATCTATATCAGTGTGTAGCCATATACATGGATATGTATTTACATATAAAGATATGTCTCTGTATACATATGTAAGTCTATATAAAGATAAAGGGGGAGTGTCTATGTATGTATAACTGCATATGCATAGATACATTGTTGTATACAATAAATATTAGCAGGTGTGTGTCACTGTATACTTCTATAGTATGTATAAAGTGTGTGTATACGTGTATAGGTATCATGAATATGTATGTTGCCATATAGATCCATGGAGTTATAAAATCACATTTGTATATAAAGGTATGAATACATGTGTGAGAGGAACTGTTTATATACATATATTTATGTAATATATATAAAAAGTGTGTTTAAGTGACTGTATAACATGTATTTTTAGTATGTACAATATTCTTTACAGTGAGGGTGAGCCACTGGCACAGGCTGCCCAAGGAAGTAGTGAATGCTCCATCCCTGGCAGTGCTCAAGGCCAGGCTGGACAGAGCCTTGGGTGATAATGGTCTAGTGTGAGGTGTCCCTGCTCATGGCAGGGGGGTTGGAACTAGATGATCTTAAAGTCCTTTCCAACCCAAACCATTCTATGATTCTATGTATTTCCTACAATACAGGTATATATGTGTGTGTATTATGTATAGGTATATTATGTCTATCCCTATGTATGAAATTCCCTGTGTAAATATACACACAGAGAGGAAAAAAAAGTAGGGTGTGGGAGTGTGTGTATATGTTTTTATTTAAAGATAGGTAATTATATATTTTAAAAGGGCTGTGAGAGAGACTGTGTCTCTATCTTTTTTAATCTCTTTTATGGAATAGTGTTATTATGTATAATCTGTATTATGTGTCTGGTTTATGTGTAAACTGTGTATGAGTGCTTGTGTGTATAAACATATATAGGTATATGGTATTTTGTATATAGGTATATCTTTATACAGCCCCCTTATATGTGCGTGTGTATAAAGCTATGTATGTGTGTGTATGCAGACAAGTATGAACACAAGATAAAGATCCTTGTGTAGCTACACAGATATTTTATATATGTATAAAATACATGTAAAGCTGTATGTATGTATGTGGGTGGGCATGTGAGAGCCGGTACCTACATGTATGTAGTTTATATATTAGAAAAACCATGAGAGTGTATCTATACACATTTGTGTCCATGTGCTGGTGCACACAACCCCTCCCCCCCCACACCCCCTATCCCTTGCACCATGCCAAGGTCTCAGGAATTCCCATCAAGCCTCAGCCTCTACGTGAGGAGTTGGCAGTGACACATCCCTTGACCCTACCTGAGGCTCCTGGTCCCTGCCCAAGGCAGGAAGCAAGAACTGGGATAACCAGTCACCCCTGATCCCCCTGGACCACTCCTTCCCTGAGTGGAGCCTGGGTGGAATGGTGCTGTTGGTATGGGAGGTTTGAAAATGTCTAGTAAGTACTGACTGGGGTTGTGACTAGGATGGAAATGTGCTGGTGACTAAAGCCCATCATCTTGCGACCCTGTAAATCATGGTCCAAAGTGATGCCCTTAGAGCTCTCCTGGAGCACATCTCCCTCTGCATGGGACCATGAGGACTGTCACTGAAAGACAGAACCTGGGATGAAGTCCCCCACTGCTGGTGACGCAGCCCTTGCCCCCTTAGAAGCAGCAAGCTATTAGAGGTGAACATTTCACTTGACTGGAGGGGAATTATTAACAGGTATCTTCTGTATCTTTATGTATGTATGTGTTTATAGATTGTTACAGCAACTGCAGTAAATGCTGTTGACTCATTTAGATGTGCCTTAAAACTGCAAACTGCTGACGCTTGTAACCCTTTGTCCTGTTGTCCAAGTCTGAGAAGAAGACTGGATCCGGCCCCCCACTTAGGCTCCTTTGGGAATTTAGAGAACAAGGGGGGCTAGGCTGAACCTCGTGACTCAACAGGAGGGTCTCCCTTACCCTTCGTGCCCTTGGTCTGTCATTTTTAGCTTGATTGTGTGTTGCTGTTTATCGGTGTGATCCCTCCCCCCGCTAACAGGGTGAGCCTTGCTGTCACCTTCTGTGACTGCACGCCTGTATCCATCAGTGAAAACTGCCCTTTCCCCAGAGCTCCGCTTTGATGGTGGTTCTGTGAGCGACCCTGAACCACTGCTCTCACAACAGTACTAGGTATTGCATGTACAAATGGCTGTACGTGTCTAAGTAGCATATATTATAAATGTGGGTACTTGTATATATGAAGATGTGTATATGAAGCCCGTATATAGCTGTTTGAGACTGTATCTCTACACACAAATTATACATGGCTATCTACAGAATATGTGCATACACACAGATAAAAATTTTTAGAGGGACGCAGCATTATTTGTATTTGTGTGTATCCCTCCCCAGTATATACATGGCCATGTATAAAGATGTATGTATATGTATAGGTGAATGGTTGTTCAAAAAGATAGATGCATAGGAAGGGAGGGGTGACAACATCTGTGTATATACCTGCATACACATAAAATTACGTTTGTGCATGCTCATGTATAATGTATTCTGTATATTTATATCCCTATATATATTCCCCATGTATATACAGACATACATGTTTATATATAAAGTTAAAGCTTTATATATACATTGTGTACTATATATGGGGAAGCTACAGACACATATTCCGCCTATCTATATGGATAAATCTAGATGTGAAGAGTATGTGTATATATCTATACATACACATACCTGTATTTAATATGTGTGTGTGTGCACTTATGTATAGGTATATGGTATTAGAGATGTACAGCTCTCTATATAACAACTCCCTTAATATAGATACATAAAAAGGTGTGTATACACGTAATTTTATATGGATAATGGGTAGTACATACAATATGGATGTATGTGCTCAAGTAAGTATGTGTAATGCACTTGTTACGTATCCCTACATTTACATTCCCTGTGTATCTACCCAGAGTGAGTAGTATATCTATAAAGAAAGAGAAGTATGTGTGTGAGAGACAAAATGGGCATCATCTCTGTAGAGATGATGATACATAGGTAAAAGGATACATACTATAGTGCATGTGTCAAATGTCTGTCTGTACATATATATATGTTTACTGTATTATACATGGGGTCCTTATACACACACATATTAACTATATTGATAGGGATAATCTGTAAATATTGCATGTATATAAAATGTGTGAGCTACTTTATATAGACACACAGATATATGGTATTGAATAAGTGTGTGTACATATATAGAGGTATGTGGTAGTATTTATAGATGTATATCCCTCCATATTAATCCTTATTATACAGCTATAATGATTATGTAAAGACGTGTGTATCTATATAAATGTCAGTAAAGGGGGGGGCCATATACAGGTATAATGGATTCTTAATACATGTATCTATACACATACATGGAAAAATATATACATGTGTATTATGTAAAGGGAGTAGGTATGTTTACGAATAAATCTGTATTTAAATAGGGGACTGTTGTTACAGAGAGCATGCATATGTCTGTGCACGTGTGTCTGCACAAGTACATGTGCCTGCCTGCATGCCTGGGTTGTGTGCATCTGCCTGTGTCTGTGTGCACACGTCTCTGGGTCTACGCATGTCTGTGTGTGTGCGCACATGCCTGTGGCTGTACATGTGTGTGCGTGCACTCAGGTCTGCATGCATGTTTGCATCTTCTGTGTGTCTGCCTGTGAGTGCATGTATGTGTGTGTATATACACACACACACACATATATATGCATGCTTGTGTCTGTGTACCTGCATGTGTGTATTGTGTGTGCATGTCTGCCTGTGTGTGCAGGTCCATATGTCTGCATGAGCATGTTTTTCTGTATCTGTTCATGGGTCTCTGTGCATTTGTATGTTGGTGTGTATCTGTGGGGCAGCATGTTTTTCTGGGTCTGTGCATGTGTCTGCACATCTCTGTGGGTCAGTGCATGTGTGTATATACACTGTATCACATGCGGGCCTCCTAACCCCCCCCCCCCCAATATTTGTATGGATGATTTTATATATAAATATGTGTATATTAAATGTTTGAGAGACTGTGTATAGACACACAAACATATATAGAGTATTCATGCACATACATATAGATATACAGTATTGATTTAGATTTATATCTCTCTGTATTTATGCCCATTCTGTATGTGGCTATGGATATAAAAAGATGCGTATCTATAAGTGCGTGTGTGTGTGTATACAGCTATATCAACTGGGGGGGGAGGGGGCTGTTCCTGTGTAGGTATAATGTACTTTTTTAAATATCTGTTTCATAAATATATATATATATACACACAGAGAAATGTATACATATATTTATATAAAGCTAGACAGGGTGTGTGTATGAGAAGCAATTATGTCTTTAAATGGAAAAAGAGAAGGCTGCGTGGAGACCTCATAGCAGCCTTCCAATATCTGAAGGTGGCTACAAGGATGCTGGGGAGGGACTCCTCTTCATTAGGGACTGTAGTGGTAGGACAAGGGGTAATTAATGGCTTTAAACTTAAACAGGGGAAGTTTAGGTTAGATCTAAGGAAGTTCTTCACAGTGAGGGTGGTGAGGCACTGGAATAGGTTGCCCAAGGAAGTTGTGAATGCTCCAACCCTGGAGGTGTTCAAGGCCAGGTTGGGCAGAGCCTTGGGCGACATAGTTTAGTGTGTGGTGTCCCTGCTCATGGGAGGGGGGTTGGAACTAGATGACCTTAAGGTCCTTCCCAACCCAAACTAGTCTATGACTATTCTATGAAATGGAGGACAAGGTACTATACTGTATAAAAAATGTCTGTACATTTATAGGTATTATACAAGGGGTCTTATATACACGGACACACATTCCCTTTATATGGATTAATCTCTGTACTGTGTGTATATAAAGGGGAAGGTCTGTTTGGGGGGGAGGAGTGTATATATATCTATCTATATATTTTATGTATGTGTGTATATATATATATATACAGGTATGAGCTAGAGATGCATATACATAATATATGGGAGCATACATGTATGTATACTGCATCTATACATGTGTGTGTAATTTAAAAGCTGTATAAAAAAGGGGCTTTGTGTTCATGTATAGATATGATGTATTATATACACATATCCCTTAATATCCATTCCCCATGTATATACGTATACATAAATATTTCTAGATAAAGATAAGTGTGAAAGAGAGAGCAAGTGCATGTGTGTTCTGTTTAAAGATAGATAATTATATGAATTTAAAGAGGGGGCTATGTACTGTATGTGTGTGAGTATATAGATATTAAAAATAAGGGTTTGGGAGTATGTAATAATGTATAGATATATTTTCACATATATGTACACACACTGAGCTTATATACATCTTTTGCATAGACACACACAACAACATACATATATTTACATAAAGGGGGTGTGTGTGTGCAAAGTTAGAGGATATATAATTGTAGATGTGTATGTATGCATGTTCTAGATAACATGTATACACAGCTGGAGGTACCTTGTATTATTTATATATGTAGATGCCCATTTTATGTATATGGCTGTGTGTATCTCCATAAGGCTGTGTGTATCTATATGCGTATGTATCTGTATATGCATGTGTATCTAAAGCAAGCGCTGTAAGGGAGAGGTGTGGTACAGACATAGCTATGTTACGTAGGTACGTATGTATAAAGCAGAGAAGCTCTAGGAGAGGGCAGGACACACTCTACTGACTGGCTGTGGCCCTCCCCACTGGCGGTACTCACTCCTCTCTGCTCTCTTCCCTGCAGACAGCGGTGTCCCCGAGGCAGCCATCTGCGTGGTCACCACTGCTGCCATCGACGTCCACCACCCCAACATCTCGTCGGACCTTTTCACAGTGGAGGTGCCCATGCGCCTGGGCAGCACCGGCACGTCTGCCAGCGTCACATCGGGCAGCGCCTCACGCTCCACTGTCAGCTCGGGCACGCAGGCCTGCAGCGAGAGCAGCCAGAC